CAACACGGCTGCTAGGTCAAAGATGACACCTCCCCAAGCGCCTTCCTCCTCCTCATCCTCGTCCGGGTACTCCACTTCGTCATCGCTGTCCGTGTCGCAGTCGTCCTCAGCAAGGTACGCCATGTCGTACGGGTTGTCTTCACCGTCCGCATCGTGGGTCGTCATGGCTGATGCGGGAAATCGTACGGGTGGCACCCCCTTGTTGGGCCTGCTGGAGCAGCGTGTGGGTGGTGGAATGGGCTGGATGGGGGGAACCGCAGGTGAAGGCTCATTCTCATGGGCCAATGGTGGCTGCTCATCCACTGCTACTTCTCCGTCTTCCTCATGATCAGCTGTATCGCCTCCGTCTTCAAGGGGACCATCCTCTGGTCCCACGGGCGTCGAATCAGCACTTGAGGAAGGACCAAGAGGTGGCGCGGCCATGGGTGCCTTACTGCCCGCATTGCCCACCGAGCGATCAAACGGTTGCTCGCCGCCTTGCATGGACGACACTAGGATCATGATGACGGTACGTGGTGGTGGCAGATTCTCCTCAGGGTCGTGGGGCTCAGGAGAGAGAGATGGGACTGAAGCAAAGGGTGGTGTGGGCTGGTCATTCCCAGCACCCACGTATGCACACCACTTCTGCCATCATTCAAGTGACATGTCCTCATCAAAACCGGCATCTCGGGTGATGACCATGCGCTTTGACTCAGCATCCACCATACGCCATCCTGTACTTTCCATGCTCATGCCCAAGTGCATGCCCCAACGAGTCATTCTTGCCAGCTTCCCCTCACGCTCATGCTCAGGAATGGGGTATTGCACCATGCACCCGAACACATGGACCATCGACACATCGGGATTGACTTTGAACACCACCAAATGAGGGGTCCCACTGTGGGGCAGGGTAGTCTGGTGCACATGGTTTACCACCCATAAGAAATGCTGGAAAGTGAAGTGCCACCACTGTGCTTTCACCCCCATGTGCCCCAACATCACACGCATGCCCTCGGTTACCGTACGGTTGCGGCGTTCAGCCACACCGTTCTGCTAGGGGGTGGAGGGGCAGGAAAGTTGATGAAGGATTCCCCGTTGCTTCAGCAGCAGCAAGAACTCATTCGACATGAACTCCCCTCCCTGGTCCGACCGCAACACCTTCTGTCAGAATCCCGCACTCCCGCCTCCTTGTCTCTGGCCTTCCCAGGTCTCTGCCCCCCCTCCCGCGCTCGCCTGCCCCGCCCTGCCTTCCTTGCGTCGAGGGGCGGCAGCGCGCCGCTCCTCACTCCTCCTCGTTTCCCCCGATGACTGCTCCCCTGCAGACTCTGACGTGTGGGGCCCAGCCCGCGTCAGTGGACAGGGCCGCGAGCGGTACTTTCTGCTGGTTGTTGACGACTACTCGCGTTACATCACGGTCTTCCCCTTGCGCAGCAAGGGGAAGTTCCCTGCTATTCTGATCCCTTGGATCTGAGCTGTTCGTCTCCAGCTCCGCGAGCGGTTCCGCACGGACTTTCCTATCCTGCGTCTGCACTCTGACAGAGGTGGTGAGTTCTCCTCCGACCTCTTGCGGGACTTTTGTCAGGGGGAGGGCATCCTCCAGTCGTTCACGCTTCCGGCCTCCCCGCAGCAGAATGGAATTGTTGAGCGTCGCATTGGCTAACTCATAGAGGTCGCTTGTACCTCCATGATCCATGCGGCTGCTCCCCATTTTCTGTGGCCGTTTGCGGTCCGGTACGCTGCACATCAGCTCAACCTCTGGCCCCGTGTCTCCTTGCTGGAGACCTTGCCCACCATGTGTTGGACGGGGGAGGCTGGCGATGCGTCTCGGTTCCGGTTCTGGGGCTCCCGTGCCTTTGTCCGTGATACCATTGCGGACAAGCTCTCCTCTCGCGCTGTTCCCTGCGTATTCCTTGGATTTCCCCCTGACGCGCCTGGCTGGCAGTTTTACCACCCCACCTCGCACCGTGTCTTTGCGTCTCAGGACGTCACCTTTGACGAGTCGGTTCCCTTCTACCGTCTCTTCCCCTACCGCACTGCCCCTCTTCCCCCCCCGCCGCTCTTCCTCACTCCAGGTCCCCCTCCGGTAGACCCCCTCCCCCCTCAGGGTCCTGCTCCTTCAGGTTTGTCACTGGTGACTCAGGTACAGCTGGGGGTGGTTCTGCTGGGGGTGGTCCTGCTCGGGGTGCTGAGCCTGAGCGTGCGGAGCCTGGGGGTGCTGAGCCAGAGCGTGCAGAGCCTGGGGGTGCTGAGCCTGAGCGTGCGGAGCCTGGGGGTGCGGAGCCTGGGGGTGTTGAGCCTGAGCGTGAAGAGCCTGGGGGTGCTGAGCCTGAGCATGCGGAGCCTGGAGGTGCGGAGCCTGGGGGTACTGAGCCTGGGGGTGCGGAGCCTGGGGGTGCTGAGCCTGAGTGTGCGGAGCCTGGGGGTGCTGAGCTTGGGGGTGCGGAGCCTGGGGGTGCTGAGTCTGGAGGTGCTGGGCCTAGGGGAATAGCGTCTCCACTACGGGAGCCTCTATCACCACAACAGCTGCATGAGTGGCTTGCTCGACGCTCCCGCCTTCAGATTGGTGCTGCTGGAGCTGGAGGCGCCGGAGCTGGAGGCTCTGGCACTGGTGCTGCTGGTCCTGGAGGTGCTCGTACTGGAGGTACTGGAGCTGCCGGGGCTGGTGGTGCTGCTGGTTAGTCCTAGAGGTGCTAGAGATCTTGCTGGATCTGGAGGTACTGGGGGTACTGGAGCTACTAGTCCTGGAGGTCCTACAGGTGCCTCGCCACCGCAGTCTAGTCGGCGAGAGCCTCTCTCACCACAGCAGCTGCGTGAGTGGCTTGCTCGACGCTCCCGCCTTCAAAGTGCCGCTACTGGAACTTGAGCTTCTGCTGCTGGTGGCGCTGGCGCTGGAGGCGCTGGAGCTGGAGGCACTGGCGCTGGAGGCGCTGGAGCTGGAGGTGCTGGAGCTGGAGACAGTGGCACTGGAGACGCTGGAGCTGGGGGTACTGGAGCCGGAGGCACTGGAGCTGGAGGTACTGGAGCTGGAGGCGCTGGAGCTGGAGGTACATGAGCCGGAGGCACTGGAGCTGGAGGCGCTGGCGCTGGAGGCGCTGGAGCTGGAGGTACTGGAGCTGGAGGCGCTGGAGCTGGAGACACTGGAGCTGGAGGCGCTGGAGCTGGAGGCGCTGGAGCTGGCACTACTAGAGCTGGAGGCGCTGGAGTTGGCACTACTGGAGCTGGCGGTGCTAGAGCTGGAGGTGCTGTAGCTGGAGGCCCTGTAGTCGATGGCATGTGGATTTTCAGGGTGAAGTGGCCGCCGGGTTCTCCGCCTGTCTTCAAGGCTCGTTACGTTGCACGAGGCTTCAGTCAGCGGGAGGGAGTTGACTTCTTCCAGACCTTCTCCCCTACCCCGAAGATGACCACTCTTCGGGTACTGTTGCACGTTGCCGCACAGCGTGACTACGAGCTTCACTCTCTTGACTTCAGCACAGCTTTCTTGCAGGGCAGCCTGCACGAGGAGATCTGGCTGCGCCGCCCACCTGGCTTCACTGGGTCGTTCCCTCCTGGTACCCAGTGGAGCCTCTGGCGGCCAGTCTACGGTCTCCGCCAGGCGCCTCGTGAGTGGCACGACACACTGAAGACGACACTTGCGGCTCTTGGGTTTGCTCCCTCCACTGCTGACCCGTCGCTGTTTCTTCGCACCGACACTTCTCTGCCGCCGTTCTACATCCTCGTGTATGTCGACGACTTGGTCTTTGCCACTGCTGACGCTGAGGCACTCGCCCTTGTGAAGTTGGAGCTGCAGAAGAGACACACGTGCACAGACCTGGGTGAGCTGTGCAGCTACCTTGGCTTGCAGATCACCCGGGACAGAGCACGCCGCACCATTACCCTGACTCAGTCACACATGGTGCAGCAGATCCTTCAGCGCTTCGGCTTCACGTACTCCTCGCCTCAGTCCACTCCTCTGTCTACACGTCACTCGCTCTCAGCTCCACCTTTGGACGAGTCCGTAGAGCCGAGTGGCCCGTATCCAGAGCTTGTGGGTTGCCTCATGTACCTGATGACCTGCACTCGACCTGACCTTGCGTACCCTCTTAGCATCCTAGCTCGCTACGTTGCACCTGGGAGACACCGGCGAGAGCACTAGGAGGCTGCTAAGAGGGTGCTGCGCTACTTGTGTAGTACATCAGGCATGGGGCTTGTGCTTGGAGGACGGGGTGACGTTGTCCTCACTGGACACTCAGACGCCTCTTGGGTTGACGACCTGGCTACACAGCAGTCGTCACAGGGTTACACCTTCAGCCTTGGTTCCGGCTCTGTCTCTTGGCGGTCCACTCGCTCTTCTTCTGTTCTCAGCTCTAGTTGTGAGGCTGAGATCTACGCCACAGCCATGGCTGTGCAGGAGCTTTGCTGGCTCACCTACCAGCTGACTAACTTGGGAGAGCAGCCTCGTTCTCCTCCAGTTCTGTACGGCGACAACAAGGCGGCCCTCGCCTTGTGTCAGGAGCACAGACTGGAGCACAGAACGAAGCACATCGCTCTGCGTTACTTTCTTGCTCGAGAGCTACAGCAGCGTGGCCAGCTTCGTCTTGCTTACGTGGACACGCGGGCCAACACAGCTGATATATTCACCAAGGCACTTCCGCCTGGTGATCATCAGCGTCACTGCACTGCTCTAGGCCTCGTGCCTACGTTCTCTCACTTGCTCAGTACATTTGCTAGGTTGTGATCACTGTACTGCTTGCTTTGTTTTATATAACTCTGCATGTGGACTGGCCTTGTGGCCCTTTGCTTGTGGTGAGAATGTGTGGTGACTTCGTGATCCACCCTGAGCTTGCTTTGCTTGTCTGTGACTACTTGTGCTCCCCCACCTTGCCTATGGGGGTGTGTCAAAACATTGTATTGTGTAGGCTGTAGTGGGGTAGCCTATATGGGGTACAACCCAGTTTAGGGTTAGTACTTGTACCAAACCCTGTCATAGTTCATTCATTCCTGCTGTTCATTCTGACACCTTCAGCGTCATCCCGGTCTGGCGTTCAGCTTTGGGAAGCCACTCCTTGAAGGGAAAGCGTGTCACTCTTCAGCTTCAACGTCTTCCCCCAGGTGTACCATGAGGCATGGTCCACGAAAAGGATGTAGTACCTGCTTTCATCCATGGTCGAGGTCTGAAATGGACCGCACACGTCAGTATGGACCAGCCCAAGAACCTGCTCCTCTCGCTCGTCATGCAGCAGAAATGTTCGGCGAGTGAGCTTTGCTTCATGGCAGGAGGTGCACGGCATATCCTCACCTCCTTTCTCTAAGTCCATACCGAACACGCCACCGCTCGTGGCTGTCCGCTTCACCGCATCAAAGTAGACGTGTCCAAGGCGAGCGTGCCACAGGTTGGGCGTTGCCTTGGAGGCCACCGCGTATGTCTCAAGGCTGGCCGCTCCATCCTTCGTTTCCGGCTTGCTTGACGCCACTTTAGCAACCGCCTTAGCCACGCCGTTGCATGTCACTGCAGCTACCGTGCCATTGCATGCCGCAGCAGCCACCGTGCCGTTGCATGCCGCTGTAGCCATCCTGCCGTTGCGTGCTGTTGCAGCTGTTGTGCCGTTGCTTGCTGGCCACGGTTTCAAGTCAAGGCAGAGAAGATGATGGCGATTGCATGCCATTGCAGCCACTTGACCCCCTGATGCGACGATGCGGGTGACACCTTCCTCGGTTTGCAGCTTTGCTCCCTTGTCCGTGAGCTGCCCTGAGGAGACTAAGTTGGCCTTCATTCCTGGCACAAAGAGGACATCATGCATGGTCACACACAAGCCGTTAGTGCCCTTGAGCAAAACCTCACCAACACTGGCGACTTCCTGCATGGAACCATCTAACCCTTTGACGGATTTCGTTGCAGATGGGTCACGGATCACCGTGAACCACTCCTTGCGCCCGGTCATGTGTTGGGAGCATCCCGAGTCAAGGAACCACAAGTCCTTGTCGTCGGCCAGGAACTTTGCAGCCGAACATGTAACGATGAGTGCCACGCCCTTCCCATCTCCTTCAGCTACGTTCGCGGCTACCATTGGCGTTGCATCCTTCTTCTAGTTGGGGCACTTGGCAGCCATGTGCCCCTCCTCATTGCAGTTGTAGCAGCGCCCCTTGAAGGGGCCTCGCTTCTTCTCCCGCTTGCCATCCTTCTTCTTGCCCGTTTGCTCCTTTCCCCCTTTCCTTCCTTTCCGTTGACCCCCGTTGTAGCCACGATGGTGTTGACAGCGCCCGAAAAAGCAGATGCATCATTGGTGATCTGCTTATAGCTTTGTTCGATGGAGAGAGTCTGCTCCTCCATCAACACCTCGCTGCACACACGTTCCATCATCATGTCAGTGCTGGAAATGTCAAGCTTGCGGCGAAGAAACCCGTACTCCGGTGGCAGGCCCTTCAGCACGTGGGCGGCAAACGTGGCCATGTTGACCTCCTGTCCAACGATCAGCAGCTCCGTTTGGATGGTGCGGGCCCTATTGCAGTAGGATTCCGTCGTCTCATCATTTCCCTTCCTGAGTAGGGCTAACTGGGTATGAAGTAGGAAAGCGTGGAGGACATCATGAGCTTGATAGGTAGACATGATATATGCCCATGCTAGCTGCCCGGCTTTCTCCTGCTGAGAGAAACCAGAGATGGACATTCGGATGGGTGGAGAAACACAGCGGTCCAGCACCATGAATGGAAACATTTGGCCCTTCGCGTACTGCCTTTGTTGCAAGGGGTTTTTTGGGGCCGGGCTTGGTGTTGTTCCGTTGCAAAACTGTCACAAATCAGCGCAATGGAGCTGAGGCCGGATGGTGCTGACCCATGCGGTGAGGTTGTGCCTTCCCTCCAGCAGCGATGTTACGGTGATATGCTCCACACCAAACTTGAATTGGCAGTAGCTTGTCCTGATCATTTCTATGTTGATGGTCATCGTAACAGCTCCTCCGCCAATGGTCGCGGCAATAGGAGCCTCGTTCTCAGCTGCTCCCCCACCAGATCCCCCTTGCTGGCCACCCACCGGTGGTTGCTCCGCCGCGCGCTCCCGGACCATGCGGAGTAGACGACCGTCCACAATAAGGTCGATCTCCTCATCATGCAAGTTAGGGTGGTGCTCACGAACGGACGCCTCCAGCTCCTGGCGGACATGTAGGCCCTTGGTGCTCGTTAACGATTCCATCAGCGGTCAAAACGAGCGGCAGCCACACCAACGTAGGAACGAAGTGACAGAATGACGGAATCAAGCTACTAGTTGGATCGACGCAGATAACGCAACTCAGATACCATGTAGAATCCCACTACTATAGTAGTTTGATAAAGCTAGAAAGCACGATTCCAACGCACAAAATATTGTAGGAAACGGTCCACTATAGCCAGAGATACACACAAACATAGCAGTGATAATGACTTGGTTAATTTGTGGTTTGTGCTCTCTGGTTTTATACTAGGACGCAATACAAAAACAAAGCACACAAGAAAGTGTCGACCGTGGTTGCGCGCTGGATTTCATCGACGCGAAATTCTGAGCCTTGAATTTCGTCGAGCGAATTCCATTGACCGAAATTCCATAGACGAGAATTTCCGTGACCATAAAACCGTCGACCACCGACTGTAACTCCCGTGCGAATTCCATAGACTTCGTTACTTCGTTGCCGAGTTTCAAACCGAACGCGACCCGAGACTGATTTCGTTAAACTGTCCCCAAACTGTCCTGAAACTGTCTCAAATCTGTCTTCAATGGACACTTTTAGGACACTTGAATCGAAAGTTCCCCAGTTCAAAACTCTCGTGCACCATAACGAACGCCGTCCTGAATCTATCCTGAGACACTTTCAGGACAGATTTGAAGGTCACGAGTTCGAATCCTAGCGGCGACAGTTTGTTGCTCATGGCAGCATTTCCTTTTAACGTGATGGTTTGGGTTTAGCTTTTGATAGAAACAAAGTGTAGGGGAGGGAGGGAGGCAGGGATGGAGCAATAAGCTTGATATTAGGTTCTCTATGTCGAAGATAAAAGGCCCCGCCCTCGCTTGGGCGAGTTCGACCATGCTTCGAGGAACACAATTGTGTGGAGCTGGCTTCGTTTCGTGGTCATCGACAACTTTGGTGACTATTATTTATGTGCAAAAGCCTCTTCGACTTCTATATGTGTTCGAAGAAGCATCTATCAACGAGACTAACCATGCTTCCAAGAGCACAACGGTGTGCGGCTAGTTTCGTTTCGTGGTCATTGGCAGCTTCGGGGACTATTATCTATGTGCATTAGCCTATCTATGTTCGACGAAGTGTCTGTCGATGAGACAAACTCGTCGATGCCGGATTGCTTTTGCTGGTCAGCGAAAGCGCCCGCCGACGAGGCGCTGATCGAAGGGAGTAACTCAGCAACGAAGAAGAGCTTCGCTGGTCGACGAAATGGTGAAAATTGGTGTTTTAATGAAACGCTGGTTGACATAATTGAGCTTTATGAATGGCATCGTTGTTCACAGCTTTTCTGGTTGACCAGAATTACTTGTCTCCAAAATTTGCAATGTGCTCAAATTTTGACCAATTGCGACGCATAAATTTTTGATAAATCGGAATCTCTCGGTGGGACATTGAATCAAAAACAGAAATTGAACCCGATACACGTTTTTACAACAATAAACATGTGCACAACTGTGTATGTTTGTAGAACATGAGCAACTACTTTGCTAGGTGAAAACACATTGCATTGTAGTTTCACCTGCCGTTGCTGACTCGATAAAGGCAATTGCGTGCCAAGAGGAACGCTCTATTCAAGGTTCACTCTTTTGCTATTTGGTTATCCTTGCTTGTACCATAATCTTGTTCAATCAATTTTCTGCTAGTGAAGCTATGCTTGAAATTTACCAAGGCAACCAACCACTTTGTCAAGAATCATTGCCAAAGCTCTGTCCGTGCGTCCCATGCTAGTCAACTCTCCCATAGAATAGCAATCTTCGCATGAGGCGGTGAGCGTGGACTCGCAAATTACCTTCAAAATAGTAGCCAACGTATCACTCACCTAAGTCATTGTTAGGCCGACAGCTTGTGTAGACCATGACGCCAACTCCGGCAGAGGTAGGCATGGTAGAGGATAGCCTGGAGGCACGGTTGGCTGATATTAGGAGACGCCATATGAATGGCGAGCACGGTGGAGCGAACTTGGAGGTGCTGCATGGTGGAGGTGCGAACTTGGGTGCGCGAGCATCCGACACCCCGTGCTGGAGTGGACGATGTGTCCACATCTCCTCGATAGGTACACAACGAACGCGATGTCGAAGAGCAGCTCGACGGCGGCGATGAGGACATGAGGATGATCAGAGGAGTGATCAGGGCCGCCGTTGACAAGGTCGGCGGAATAAATACACAAGTGCAATGGTTGACGATGGCCGCGGGCAGCTCGTACAGCAACGTCAACGGTCGACACCGCTCCCCGCAGAGAAGTGGAGTGAGGCTGGGCTCATTGACGCACGTGACGGCTGGCGAAATTGCACCAGCTAACAACTATTTTAAAAATTTGCTAGACAAGATCACAGTGCCTGTGCTGCTGGAAGGTCAACGTAACCTCATCACGTTGAGGGATTCGATCGACTCTCAGCCAGAGATTGCCGAACTTAAGTGTTTCGCCGATGGCACCGTGGAGACGCCTCGCGAGGCCAACGTTGAGCTGCGGGCAGAATTCCATGCGGCTTACATGCTTACCTTCATAATCATCTCGCGATGTTGATCGCCGATGGTGCAGATCGCCCTGAAGCTGTGCAGACTACTACTGGATGCCAACCACCAAGCGTGACAGCTCATCTTGTCGACGTACCAAGCAACCGACGACCTGTACATTGGCCAGCTAGAGGAGTGTCTGACTCACCTCTGGATGGGCGAGAAGGAGTCAACGACGGACTACTACAACCTTGCTCGACAGATCCTAGCTGACATGCGGATGACCGGTATTGAGTACTCAACGGCGTCCTACATTACGCACGTCGTCAAAGGTCAACTGAGCGGCTACAATCTCATGCGCCGGATGATGGCGATGCTTAGCGTACTTGAGTCTCTCAACAAGGAAACCCTTACAAGCCACATCATCAAGGATGAGGCTATGCAGGAGGCTGAACGACCCACGGAGCTCCTTCCACAGGCAAACTACACTGTCCTGATAAAGGACGGACGTCAACTGTTTAAGTGTGGAAAGTCGAGCGGAGGTGGTAGCGGAGGCGGGAAGTTGGCGAAGGACGACGACCGGTCGAAGTTGGCTCGGGACAACGGTCGAAGCGGAGGTGGTCGATGGCGGGAGTGCTAGATCTGCGGCGACCCCGACCACCTTTCCTTCGAGTGCCCCAACCGCAATGAGAGCGACGACGATGACAAGGGAGGCCGCGGGAAGTCTGACGGCGATCGTCGACATCAAGACAACAAGACGCGGAAGGAAAAGTCAACATGGAAGTCGACGCAGTCGACGAAGGATGCCGACTCCTCTGCAGACAAAGGTCGAGGCAACGGGGAGGAGTCGTGCTCGATGGTCGGCATCGTGGAATCGATCGTGTCACTGGCGTTGGAGGTCGGCGAGGACTTCAAGGCGGTCGCGGCCGCCGTGCAGGCAATTCTCCTTCCTTCCCTCCTCTTCCCCTCCCTTACCTGATTCCCCGACACTCCCCCTCTCTCTCCCTCCACGCTTCTCGCCCTTGTACCCGCACACGTCCTTCTCCCTTCCCTCCCTTCTCTCACTGAACCCTCACTTCCCTCCCTGCTTCTTCCATTTCTTCTCATTTCCTCCCTTCCCCCTCTTAGCCACTCTCCTCCTTCCCTCTCAGCCCCTCTCTTCCTTTTCCTCTCAGCCCCTCTCCTCACCCTGCTCACTTACACACCCTGCTCACTCTATACTCGCTCACGCTGTCCTCTGCGTAGGGTGGGTGTAGTGCTGGTGGGTGTTGTCCTGTTCTTCTCTTCTGTGTTCCTCCTTTCAACAGTTCCTCCCTTCCACTATTCCACTCTTTCTATTTTCATCCCTTCTTATGTTCCTCTTCTACTGTAATCATAAATCGAGAGGTCACGTTATCCTTTCCTCCCATCTCTTGTAGGCTGCTTGTCCTTCGTCATTATCTTGTATGCTTCCCTGCTGCTCATCCATCTCACATCTTATTTCCTGGTTTGTGTTCGTACAGGTCCGCTATGCGTTAGTGCCGGTGGTGTGGTGATCTGTTGGCTGGCAGTTTGATAGGACTATAATTACTGCCCATGCCATGTTTGGATGTTGGATGCTTTGTCATAATACAAACCCTGAGATGCGCAGCAGGGTCGTCGCTAGCATAATTTTTTTGTCTGTTTGCTGATATTCAGACGGTTTTTTAGGCTTTATCTGACTTCCCATAAATGTTTACTATTCTTATCTGATGGGAAAGGGATGAATTTTTATTTTATCTGATGAAACAGATATGGATTTCATGTTCATTTGATGCATCAGGAACACTTTCTGGTTTCGTCTGATACCTGATTCTTTTTTCCTTATGCGTGGTTTACACGTGCACAAGGCATGGGGGTGCGTTGGCCCTTGATTACCAGATTGCATGCACCATACATTTCGCGGCCCGACCTCCCACGTGTAGCCTTCGCCAACAACGCAAAATGATGCTCCTGCTGCAGGTACACATACATTGAATTTGCTGTACCAACGGTGGTATGCGTCACAAATTGCCTACGCAGGACCACTATTGTCGTACGTGGCTTGTCCCGTCGTCATGGATTGGTCAGTGTGTTGCAGCACACATCGTTCCACCTCCACAAACACGCAGTTTCGGTGCCTAAAGAAGGTTCAAGAAGCGCGTTGCGGTGGCACCACAAACAAGTGGTGCCACCCACTGTTTTCAATGCCATGCGCACTTCAGAGGGCCGTCCTTCATCTACGGTTGGAGTTGGGGCGTTGGGGTTTCAGAGGGCCCTCCTTCTTTAGGGTTCTCTATCATTTTCCAATTCTTTCCCATTATTCGTTCGCCCGTCTTCTCGCCATGGCGGACGAAGCGGACGGTGTCGAAACACCCAACCCACAGCCCCAAGCACCGATAACGGGCCTAGGTTTTTTACGACGATCCAAACCAGCCGCCATATTAGAGTCGTCCTCCCAAACGCGCGTTCCCGTAGCTTCTCCCCCAGCTCCCCGTGAAGTTACTCTTGTTTCTTAGCCCGATCTTAATGCTAGACGGGCTTACAGCAGCACACCACCCGTCTCCCCTAGTCCCTCTTCTAGGAATCCTGCGACTAAAGCAAGATCGCAAGCATCGCTTAGCGTATCTCGAAGTAATGCCGTCCCCCGTTTCCCCAAGGCAGGCCGATTCACCCAGAGCACCCTGCGGTTTGCTAAGACGCGGGTTCTACACGTTCGCATCGTTGCACGCCCCACCATGACGCCTAGAGTAGGAGTTTCATCAACCCCACCAGCAACTCATCCGACAGGTGATCCTGGCCCGTCAAGGAGTACCATCCATGTTCCTGATCCATACGCCCTGATGGATCAACTTCACGCACGATCGAAGGAGTATTGGAAGGGTAAATTCAAATGGTTGATCATCACGCAGTGGAAGGACGGGACTCCGAGCATGAAGTGCAGCATGTGCACGACACACTGAGGACGACGCTTGCGGCACTTGGGTTTGCTCCTTCGACAGCTGACCCGTCGCTGTTTCTGTGCACCGACACTTCGCTGCCGCCGTTCTACATCCTCGTGTACGTCGACGACTTGGTCTTTGCCACTGCTGACACTGAGGCTCTCGCCCTGGTGAAGTCGGAGCTGCAGAAGAGACACACGTGCGCAGTTACCTTGGCTTACAGATCACCCGGGACCGAGTACGCCGCACCATCAGACTGACTCAGTCACACTTGGTGCAGCAGGTCCTTCAGCGCTTCGGCTTCATCTGGTCCTCACCACAGTCCACTCCTCTGGCTACAGGTCACTCGCTCTCAGCTCCACCTTCGGACGAGTCCGTAGAGCCGAGTGGTCCTTACCCAGAGCTAGTGGGCTGCCTCATGTACCTGATGACCTGCACTCATCCTGACCTTGCGTACCCTCTTGGTCTTCTGGCTCGCTACGTGGCTCCTGGTTGGCACCGAAAGGTGCACATGGATGCTGCAAAGAGGGTACTGCGCTACTTGTGCAGTACATCGGGCATAGGGCTCGTGCTTGGAGGGCGGAGTCCAGTTGTCCTCACTGGGCACTCAGACGCTTCTTGGGTTGACGACCAGGCTACGCAGCGGTCGTCACAGGGTTACACCTTCAGCCTTGGCTCTGGCTCTGTTTCTTGGCGGTCTACTCGCTCCTCTTCTGTTCTCAGCTCCAGTTGTGAGGCTGAGATCTACGCTGCAGCCATGGCTGCACAGGAGTTACGCTGGCTTACCTACCTGCTGACTGACTTGGGAGAGAGGCCTCGTTCTCCTCCAGTTCTGTACGTCGACAACAAGGCCGCCATTGCCTTGTGTCAGGAGCACAGACTGGAGCACAGAATGAAGCACATCGCTCTGCGTTACTTCCTGGCTCAAGAGTTGCAGCAGCGTGGTCAGCTTCGTCTTGCTCACGTGGCCACTCAGGCCAACACTGCTGATATATTCACCAAGGCACTTCCGTCTGGTAACCATCCGCGTTTTTGTACTTTGTTGGGCCTTGTGCCTACGTTTCCACACTTGCTGTAGACTCTGCTTGTACTGTGATATATATATATATGCCTGCATGTTTGCTCTTGCTAGGTAGTGATCACTGTATTGTTGTTGTTGCATATATGTCTCTGCATGTGAACTGGCCTTGTGGCCCTTTGCTCATGCTCAGTGTGTGTGGTGACGTGATCCACCCTGAGCTTGCTTTGCTTTTCTTGACTGGTCTTGTGACCCCTTGTTCTCCCCCACTTTGCCTATGGGGGTGTGTCAAAATATATGCATCCTATATTTGTGTAGGCTGTAGTGGGGTAGCCAATATGGGGTACAACCCCTTTAGGGTTAGATACTTGTACCCAACTCTCATTCAATGCATTCATTCCTGCTTCTAGATTCTAACATGATGATGATGAGGGCGACGATGGCCTTGATGTCCGTGGTACTATGGCGCTGGATTCTTCTGACACAGAGTAGAGTAGAGTAGAGGAGAGTACTAACAATATGCATCAGTTCCCAGTCAGCTAGCTTGGATTGGAATACTAGTGTGTTGTATGTAGGAAAAGTTTCAATGATATAGTAATTACTGATTATAGACTTTCACCATATTTTCACTTGTATTTGTAATGGGTTTATTACAGCTTGATACGGTAGTACGAGACAAACTTAAACTGCACTGTTACAAATGTATCAGAAATGAAAACACCCTGCATCTGATACGTAAGGATTTTTATTGTTTTCCAAAATTTCTGATCAAGCAGACAAGGAAACCAAATCGTTCTGATGGATCAGACGGGCCCGGAGAGGACCCGTCTGGTGCATCAGGCCTGATCAGGCGCCCTCAGATACTAGGGAAGGGACAACCCTGCTGAGCAGCCATGCACATGACCACTACAAAAAAGTGCAACAAAGTTCACAGTTGATTATCGACACGAAGAAGACAGCTAGGGAAATGTAATGTTTTTTCCCCAATCTTGTCTGCTACACTGCATGCAACCTTGGCCTGTGGCGCTGGGAGCCTGGGACCTGTACACTGTGTGGTTGGAAATGGGGGTGACTGAAAGGGGGGACAGATTGAGCAGCGGAAAAGAGAGTGAACAGGAAGAAACAGAGCGAGCAGGGGGGAAGAGAGTGAGCAGGGGGAAACAAAGTGACTAGGGGGGAGAGAATGGGCAGGAGAAACAGAGTGAGCAGGGGGGAAGAGAATGAGCCGGAGAAACAGAGTGAGCACCTGGACATTAAGGATGCAAAGGTGAAAGGAACGAATGGGGAGGTGAAAGGGAGTTAGTTAGGCTGGGAGGCTAGTAGGGAGGGAGGAAGGAAGGAAGGGCGGAAGAGTTATTCTTTCGCATGGGAGGATGTGGGTACGGTGGAAGTGTACGGTGGAAGTGTATGGTGGAAGTGTACGGTGGAAGTGTACGGTGGAAGTGTACGGTGGAAGTGTACGGTGGAAGTGTACGGAGGGAGAATTGGAGAAGACGGTAAAGACGGGCAACAGGAGGGGTAGAGAAGGTGGCTGAGCCCCCTAGGGCGATTAGAGGGCGGTGGGAGGGGGGAAGAGGGGTATGGGAGGGAGATGGGAGGGGGGTGGGGGGAATGGGAGGGGGATGGGAGGGGGATGTGAGGGGGATGGGAGAGCGATGGGAGGACGATGGGAGGGGGATGGGAGGAGGATGGGAGGGCGATGGGAGGGGGATGGGAGGGGGATGGGAAGGGGATGGGAGGGGCATGGGAGGGGATGGGAGGGGATGGGAGGGGGATGAGAGGGGGATGTGAGGGGGAAGGGAGGGGGTTGGGAGGGGGATGGGAGGGCGACGGGAAGCGGATGGGAGGGGGATGGGGGGGGGGGGAGGGGGAGGGGGGCGATGGGAGGGGGATGGGAGGGGGATGTGAGGGGGATGGTAGGGCGATGGGAGGAGGATGGGAGGGGTATGGGAGGGGGATGGGAGGGTGATGGGAAGGGGATGGGAGGTGGATGGGAGGGCAATGGGAGGGCAATGGGAGGGAGGAAAAGGGGGATGGGAGGGGGATGGGAGGGGGATGAGAGGGCGATGGGAGGAGGATGGGAGGGGGATGGGACGGCGACGGGAGGGGGATGGGAGGGGGATGGGAGGGGGTTGTTAGGGGGATGTGAGGAGGATGGGAGGGCGATGGGAGGGGGATGGGAGGGGGATGGGGGGGGGATGGGAGGGCGATTGGGAGGGATATGGGAGGGGGATGGGAGGGCGATCGGAGGGAGATGGGAGGGGGATGGAAGGGCGATGGGAGGAGGATGGGAGGGGGATGGGAGGGCGATGGGAGGGGGATGGGACGAGGATGGGAGGGGGATGGGAGGGGGATAGGAGGGGGATGGGAGGGGGATGGGAGGGGTATGGGAGGGGGATGGGAGGGGGATGGGATTGGGATGGGAGGGCGATGGGAGGGGAATGGGAGGGGGACGGGAGGGGGGTGGGAGGGGGATGAGAGGGCGATGGGAGGGGGGTGGGAAGCGATGGGAGGGGGATGAGAGGGGGATGGGAGGGCGATGGGAGGGGGACGGGAGGGGGACGGGAGGGGGATGGGAGGGGGATGGGAGGGCGACGGGAGGGGGAAGCGAGGGCGACAGACCGTGGATGCGAAGTCGACGGACGAGATGGGTGATGGGTGGGGGATGGGAGGGGGATGGGAGGGGGATGGGAGGGCGATGGGACGAGGATGGGAGGGGGATGGGAGGAGGATAGGAGGGGGATGGGAGGGGGATGGGAGGGGGATGGTAGGGGGATGGGAGGGGGATAGGAGGGGGATGGGATGGGGATGGGATGGGAGGGCGATGGGAGGGGAATGGGAGGGGGACGGGAGGGGGGTGGGAGTGGGATGAGAGGGCGATGGGAGGGGGGGGGATGGGAAGCGATGGGAGGGGGATGAGAGGGGATGGGAGGGCGATGGGAGGGCGATGGGAGGGGGACGGGAGGGGGATGGGAGGGCGATGGGAGGGGGAAGCGAGGGCGACGGATGGGGGAAGCGATGGCGCCGGACGGTGGATGTGAAGTCGACGGACGGGGGGAAGCGAGGTCAACAACGCTCTAATTTCTCATCCTGTGCCGCACAGTATCTCCGTGCTTCACACTCGCATCAGCGCCACATTCTCTCCCTCGGACCTCGGATTCCTCTCAATTCCGGCCGCCACGTTTTTCTTCTCACATGTTATACCTAGCTATGTTAGTATGGATACTTAATTTCACGCTTTTCTCACCCTGCTTCAAGACTGCGCTTGTGGACTAGGGCGAAAAACTGAGTTGTGAGCTGCATGTGAGAGTGGTTGGGTTTTGTTTTGTCGTTACTGCTTGTTCAAGTTTCTTGAAGTTGAATATAGTAATTTGCAATACACTGGAGCATTCCGCCTTCGCCACCTGTCTCTGGAGAATTCTCCCCTCGTCAACCTTCGTGCAACCCTTTTCAAGTTCAGTATTTTTGAACTCTTGCCATTCTAGGCGCAGGCTTTAATTGAATCAATCAATAAAGCAGCTCATAAATAGGAGTGTTACTCACCTTGCAATAGAAAAAGGGGCACTGCTCCTTCGTATCAACACGACATGGGGAGAGGTCGCGATCGAGCCTGAAAAAATGATTGGATAAGCAAGCTTCATCAGGATACGACTAGAGGTTGAAATCACACTCACGGAAGGGAGAGGGAGCGAGTGAGAGCGGTTCAAAGTAACAAAGCAACACTGTGTTCATACTTGGTGGGTGTAAGCTAGAGACGTGGGATTGCGAGAGGGGAAGGGGAAGGATAGCAAGGCAAGCAAGGCAGCAATAGCGAGAGAGTGAAGGAGGTGCAAGGACGAGAGAGCGTGTTGACTGCGCACCTGATGCGTGTGAAGACAGAAATGCAACCCCAGCAGACAGATATATCCCATTCATTGGCTGGAGTCCTGAATATACCAAACGACACTCCTTCCACCTCCTCAGCTCGAGACGAGTCGTCGGCAAAGGGGAATCAGCTGCCTCATGGTGATTAGATTCTCCAGAACTTGAGCACCACTATAACCTCCTCTTCCGTCCCTCTCCTCATCAGCTCCTCTCCTACAAATCCCAACCCTCTCATCCTCTCCCCCACATCTCCAGGGTCATTCCCCGCCACAACAAGCAGGTAAAACACTCCTCTAGGGGACAACAGCTCTGCCGAAACCTCCAAAGCTCGGTCGATTACCTCTCTCCCGCGATCCCCTCCCGCCCAGGCTTGCGTGATTCCCGGGCGGTGCACTTCTTGGGGCGAAGTGGGGACGTATGGTGGGTTGAAGATGAGAATGTCTACTTGGCCTGCCATCCTCGGTATAAGGGCCGATCCGAGATCCGATAAAAGGACGTCCGCCGGGATGCTGTGGGCTGCTAGGGTTTGTCGGGTGATGTCAGCGGCATGGTGATTAATGTCCACTGCGAGAAATGCGGATTGAGAGGCAAGGGAAACGACAGCATTAGGAGCAGCAGCACCTCTGCCAGCATCCCTACCAGCAGCACCAGCACCATCAGCGCCGCCAGCACTACTAGCAGCACTGCTGCTGCTACCGATGACAGCGGGGGCAGAAGGAGCAGCAAGGGCGCGGAGGACGAGGGCCACTGATGCAAGGACGAAGCCGCTACCGGACCCCAGCTCGACAACCAGCGCAGGGAACGACGGATGGCCACAGGAGATGACGTGGCCATGTGGAGGGTGGGAGGACGTGGGCGGATGTGCGGATGGGGACGCGGGGGGTTTGTGCGAGATCGATGATGGAAGGGCTCGGTCGGATGACGGGCTGTTGTCGCTGGCGTAGGTTGCGAGCGACGGGTAGAACCGGGCGATGTCCGCGGCGATGGCATCGGCGAGGGTGAAGGAGTCGTCGCACGGCTCGTACACCTCGGGATGACGTGGCATGAGTCGCAGATCTGGCTGTGGCCAGCTCTCCCTTCTCTGGCGTCGTTGCTGCTGCTGTTGAGAGGTAGACATGACTGGCTGTATGTCGAATGACCTATCGCGAGCCGGTTGCCCCATATCCAAAGCTGTCATGCATTAAAGGGGGCTATAACTTATTGTATAGATCTGTGCAGGCTACTACACCACACTGAGTTGGGTTTCTAGTGGTTACTGACGAAATGTCGAGGTGCAATCACGCGCCGCACCACGGAAAACTTCCTTCCGTTTCTTGCGATACTTGATATCAATTAAAGTATTAAATCAAAGTCGCTGATTGAATGCTGACGCGGAACTGATTGCAGCACAGGAAGAGGTAGGCACAGGAGGAGGCAAGCAGCAATTTCGCTGGATCTAATGTGCGATATTTTTACCCTGGCGATGTCACGTTATCACCCTTCTCGAGGCTGGTGGTGAGTTGAGGGGAGGCAACTCTGGTAACCCTTCGCGCAACAAATCGGTTTGGTTCCCCAAGTTCGCTCATCCAATGCATAAAACAAACACAACCAGAAAAACTACATAACGTTGGGAGGAATATATTCCCGGATGATACACCTTATGCTCACCTCCTGCACGCGAAATTGCCTTGCACCGGATGGAAACCTTGCACCCGTGAATTTTGTGCCGTGAAGTTGCACCCGCGTTACAAGCACGTCGACCAATACGAACCACAGAAACTGAAGTTTGACTGACGAGACCAAAGTCAATTAGTCAGCGTTGAGTTACAAATGTTGTTTATAAGCCCTTTTTTCCCGATGCGAATTGACGAAATCTTCAAGCGAAGCAAGAATCACTTATAAGCCTAGTGGGTAAGGTGAGGTCGGGGGGCTCAATCGGGCATCGTGTGTATATGTTTTAGTAAGGCACCGAGGTTTTCGCTCGCCAGCTATCTGACAGGTAGAAACAGGTTTACGAATCACCGTTTTGTAGCATCCCGCTGACCTCAGGAAACCGAGAAAAGTACACATCATGCTCAACCCCTGCACGCGAATTTACCCTGCACCGCATGAAAATCCTGCACCCGTGTTTTTTTCCCCAGCCAGTTGCACCCACGTTACAAGCACCTCGCGCAAGTTGCAGCAATTCTGAACCAATAAGAACGAAGGGACCGAAGTCAAAATGAAGAGACTGAAGTCAAAATGTCAATGGAGTTACAATTACCTTATAAGCACCTGACGAATCCTTTTTTGCTAGCTGCGAACTGACGAAAACTTTGCGAATTAAGCAGAATCACTTACAAGCCCCCTTCACAAGGCAACCTCGGGTTAGTCAAACGAGCATCATGTGTGCTGATATAAACGAAGGATCAAAGTTCAGGAGGAGACAATAAAGTCTCTGTAGTGACCTTGTTGGATAACAATTGAAAGACAACAAGATGATTAAAAGGTGGAAGTACAAGGGATTAAATAGCAAACTAGCTAGCCATGTACTCTGAGGGGTACATTCCCTTATTTAACTGTATTGCATAACTATAGTAACCTCGACTATTGACATTCTCGACAGTTACCACATTGCAGCGAACAACTGTCGTGCAGTTACTGGCTGGTCAAGGGTCAAGACCGTTGACTACCCTCGACTGTTGTCCTTCGGGTAACCCTCGGCTTTCCGCATGCTCTATATGAGCTATTGCGGTACTGGTACAGTGCCCGGTTGGTTCTGCTAGCACCTGATGCGTTAGTGGGATACCTTCGGGAATGCTTAAAATGACCTTTCGGTTATTCCAACACTCCCCTTCATTCCTGAAGGTGGGCCACGTGGGATTTCTTGGTGATCCCGCAGAGGTTGGCGCAGTGTTGAAACTGCTGGCGTAGCAATTTTTTTGTCAGGAAATCAGCTGCCATGTCACCGGTTGGGCAGTACGTGAGTTTGACTCTCCCCTTGTCGATTTCGTCCTTGACGAAGAAGTAGCGAAGTGCGATGTGCTTCGTGCGGTTTACGAAACCGGGTTTGTTCGCGATCTTGATCGCGCTCTGATTGTCGCAGAGTAACGTGAAGTGCCCGTTCATCGTCACTTTCGCTTCTTGCAGGAGCTCCATTAGATACAGTCCTTCGCGAACAGCTGCATTGGTGGCGATGAACTCAGCTTCTGCTGACGAAAGAGCGATGAGTTCTTGCTTTTGAGAGTTCCAGGAGATGAGTCTCGGAGGTTGGAGTTGGAAGACAAATCCTGTGCGGGAGCGCCTGTTGTCAGTATCCCCTGCGTGGTCAGCATCTACGTAGCCATGAAGCTGCAGAGTAGCGGTGAGGTTGGCTTCGTAGGTATGGCCGACGTCAAGAGTTGAGATGAGGTACTGTAGTGCTCGGCGTAGATCCAGTAGATTCTCCCCTTAAGATCGCTTTAGGTACTGTGCGAGCTGGCTTGCGACGTAGGAGAGATCGGGCCGGCACGTGACGGCGGCAAACAGGAGACATCCTAGCTGCTGTTGGTAGAGCCGATGATCGTCGATGGAGAGGGGTGTGGTGTCCGGCTCATGATTAGGAGGAGGAGTGTGATAGGGAGTAGTGAGGTTGATTGTTGCGATGGCGAATCGCTTCGCGAGTGTTTCGGCTTACTTAGCGGCGGAAAGGTGAATGGAAGAGGCGGACTGAGTGATATTAAAGCTCGGGAATTGTGTGACGTTGTGGTTGATCGTCACTTCGAGCTTCTCCTTGATATCAGCTTTGAACTGGTCGAGCAGCTCCGTGTCATTGCCAGTGTAGAGGAGATCGACCACGTAGGCGACGAGGAGAATGAATTTGCCGCGCGATTCCCGGCGGTACATTCCGAGGTCATGTGGTAGCTGAATGAAACCGAGGTCAAGAAGAACGGAGTGGAGATACTGCTGCCACAGGCAAGGTGCCTGCTTAATCCCGTAAAGGGATTTCTGAAGGAGACACACGGCGCCATCGTTCTCTTTGAAGGCATGTGGCTGTTCGACGAAAATGATGGCGTCAACAGGGGCGTAAAGGAAAGCGCTGTCGACGTCGATTTGGCGGAGTGGCTGCTGTTTGACGGCTGCGAGGCAGATGAGTATGCGTACCGAGGTGTGACGTCCGACAGGTGCGTAGGTTAGGGTGAAGTCCACTAGGTGCGTTTGCTCGAAGCCGCGCACCACCCACCGCGCCTTGTATTTATCAATGGAGCCGTCAGCCAGGGTCTTGATGCGGAAGACCCACTTGCTGCTGAGAATTTTCCTCCCCTTTGCCGATGACCGAGGGACCAGCTTCCAGGTGCCACACTTCTTCAGCGACGCGACCTCTGCGGCCATGGCTTCTCTCCAGTTCTCGCTGTCGGGGCCAGACAAAGCTTGGCAAACAGTCGTTGGTTCCTTAGGAGAGTGGTGGTAAACAGCGACAGAGAGACCGAGAACGCGGAGGTCGGTTTCGTTGGTCTTTTCGTAGTGGAGGCGGTCGTAGTCGTGGAAGCTGGTAACTTCGACCACGTCGTCGTCACTTTCGTTGCCGAGGCGGAGGGTGTCTTGCGAGGTGTTGGGCTGTGGTAACTCTGCATCCGGGGATCGTCGCGCCTCACTGGTATAGTTGTGAGCTTCGCGAGTTGTATCATCCGGATCGAATTGGTGTACAGGGATGAAGGTTGGAGTTTGGAGCGGGCTTGTAAGGGGGATGTTGGTGTCAGTTTATATTCTTATACCTGCATGCAATTCTAGCTGTAGTGTAGATATTAACTTTATAGGTGGTGCACCACTTTGTTTACTATTTGTACCCCAAGTCCTATAGTGAACATCATCATTCTCCTCTCAACTCTCGACACTCTCTCCTTGGCACAAAACCACCTCGACTCCCTTGGGCCTAGGCTACTAAGCCTAGGCCCACTTAACCCAATTAACTACTTCCTTGTGCTACTATTCTTGAGATGGAATCAGAGCTGTTACGCCCTTGGCCTGTGGGCTACCACAAGCTTCCGCTGCTGCTGTTTAGTATGTCGCGCGCCCCGGGGCGCGCGACGGTTTTTTTCTTCCCGCCCCGCGCTCGGGGCGCGTGGCGGTTTTCTGCCCCGTCGAGCTGCCCCAGAGCCCCGCGATGCCGCCCCAGAGCCCCACGACGCAGCCCCTGAACCCCGCGACGCCGCCCCAGAGCCCCGCGATGCCGCCCCAGAGCCCCACGACGCAGCCCCTGAACCCAGCGACGCCGCCCCTGGACCCCGTGCAGCCGCCCCAGCCTCACCCGCGCCTGCCCTCGTGCGGTCGCCCTGCATCACCCGCGTCTGCCCTCGTGCAGCCGCCCCTGCATCAACCGCGCCTGCCCTCGTGCAGCCGCACCTGCTTCACCTGCGCCTGCCCTCGTGCAGCCGCCCCTGCTTCACCCGAGCCTGCACCCGTGTAGCCGCCCCGGCCTCACCCGCGTCTGCCCTCGTGCAGCCGCCCTGCATCACCCGCGTCTGCCCTCGTGCAGCCGCCCCTGCGTCGCCCGCGCCTGCCCTCGTGCAGCCGCTCCTGCCTCACCCGCGCCTGCCCTCGTGCAGCCGCCCTGCCTCACCCGCGTCTGCCCTCGTGCAGCCGCCCCTGAAACACCCGCGCCTGCCCTCGTGCAGCCGCCCCAGCCTCACCCGCGTCTGCCCTCGTGCAGCCGCCCTGCATCACCCGCGTCTGCCCTCGTGCAGCCGCCCCTGCGTCGGCCGCGCCTGCCTTCGAGCAGCCGCCCTGCATCACCCGCGTCTGCCCTCGTGCAGCCGCCCCTGCATCAACCGCGCCTGCCCTCGTGCAGCCGCACCTGCTTCACCTGCGCCTGCCCTCGTGCAGCCGCCCCTGCTTCACCCGAGCCTCCCCTCGTGCAGCCGCCCCTGCCCCACCCGCGTCTGCCCTCGTGCTGCCGCCCCTTCCTCGCCCGCGCCTGCCCTCGTGCGGCCGTGGGGGGGAGGGTCTTAGGGTGGCGAGTGTGGGGTGATGGGTGGTGTGTTGCCCTTCCCCTCCTCCTCCTTTCGTTCCCACTGCTGCAGCTGCCGCTGGGGGGGAGGGTGTGAGGGT